TGTAGTGGTATTAACATGAGTGTTTGTGGATCAGGATTGCGGAAGCAATGTGGATCTGAAACCCCAGAAACAAAGACATTTCTCCAAAAGTCTGGCTTATTTGACTTACAGCGTTAAGCTGCTGTGCATACAACAGACAACAAAAAAACACTTGGCAGAGCTGAGAGTAGAGGAATGAAGGTGGTGAGGGGTTGGAGCATGTTTACTATGGGTTGATCGCTAAAGAAAACATTGTGCAATTGCATCCTGATCTCTAGAACTAGCTATACAGGTAAAGAAATATCATTTTCCCGTATAGTCAGCTTTTTTAAGGTGCATACAAACACAGTCATGGATCCACAACTGAATGCTGTTCTGTATAAAGAACTGACTAGCATGGCTGTACCTGTAATTGTTACCCAAGACCTTATTTGTTCAGCTGAATAGTTTGGCCTGGAAGATTCTCTGGCCTGGAAGATTCTCTGCTCTACTGTACGTAAACTTGGTGGTGATATTGTCAGGTTAACAGGCAAGAGGAGTAGCTAAAGGTGTGAAAGCATGAATCCAGTGTTTAATGCCCCTGTTCTTTGTGCTGATTTTAAAGGGGGACTGGAACAAAACTACATGTAAACTAGAACTTAAACACATGTACAGCAGGGTGTGAAGGGTTGTCTCTATTGATGACAAGCCTGTGCAGGAGAGGATCTTGGAATGTTGAATCGTTGCGTTATTACAGTCCAACTAAAACAGTCCTGTTTTAAGCAAAATTTGCTTTTGAATGGCCTTTAATCACTTACTACAGGGCTACTTTAATACAGATACAGTACAGCTAAGCAAAATGATTGATATTGTATGTATATTAAACATAAGTTACAAAGAATAAGCCTTAGGTGAGTGGATTTAATCCATTTTAAGATAGTTTATGTACTTTGCCTTGAATTTTATTGCTTAAAACCTAAAAGGTAACTTTCTAACTTGAACATTCCTTCTGAAATTCAAGTAAAGGATAGTTTGGTATGTTAAAATCTCACATAATATACTGCACTTTAAGCTCTGGGAGGCCATAAATTGAAAGCACTGTTCTTGCACTAATAGAGCTGTTGGACCGGTGGTGACAACACTCAAATGGATTTTACTGTCTGGGGGGAGAATAGTGAACCAGCAGGATGGCAGTCCTTTGAAACTATACATGAGTCAAACGCTGTATGGTTTAGGCCACTGTTCTCTTCCTAAAAGTGTTTTAATATTAACTCATCTCAAAAGATGGAAGGTGTCTCAGTTAAGAACCAGTTTGTATGGAGTGTCATAGCTTCAATTAGTGAGATGTGGAGAGCTTTCTGAGGAAGTGTGCTGTTAGACTGTCTTGGATGATTGTTACAGTACAGAAGAATAACATTTTTAGGAGAGGTAAAGGACCTTTATACTGAACCGGGAGTTGCCTTCATATTTCCAGTTCCCCTCTTGTCTTGCTCTACTGTTGGTGTTGGAAAGAGGTATTTCTAAGCAAAATGTCAGGGTTCTGCTAAACAACTCATGCTTTCTAAAATATGCATCAGTGTCCAGATTCTTCCTGCACTACATAGCAGAGTGTTCTATTTCTGCCATTAGAAAAAAAAAAATTAAGTAAGAAAATATCCAGTATTTAGAGAATTGCCTAGTAGTTTCCCATAAATGTACACTTGTGTGACAGTTTACTATATGGTGTACTGCTTTGAAAAAGAAAATACACTTCTAAATGTGTGCACACAGAGCTCTGCATGTAGATAAAAAGTGTTTTATCAGAGTATGATGTTGGAATGCTTATGCAAATGCTTTTTTACTTTCTGACATTACAATGCAAAATGCAGTAGAGATGGTGGTGTACTTAGTGTGATATTAGCTAGTGCAACCTTGGAAATCATAGTGTGCATTGTCATGGAGTATGAGACAGTTTTATTTGTAGACAGTTGTTAACCTTTTGCTTTTTCAGTGTTCGGTTTTTGTTGTTTGGATTTTTTTGGGGGGTATTGTTGTTTTGTTTTGTTTTTAAGGACTGTAAAAACTGCACTTTCTTAAACTCGGCCAAAGGATGCTTTCTTTCTCCTTTGCTCCTCCCTCGCCCCTCATTCTAGGCATGCACACTGAATTTTTGGAAGAAGCAAGAATGTATGTACTCTCCTAATATACCATGTTACTGTCAAGTTGTTCATTTTGTCTTTATGGTCTGTTCTTATGTGTATTTTCCTTCTCTTCCTCCCCCATAATTTCTCAGCATAAGCATATACTGATATGCTATTCCATTGCAGAAACACTTCCCTGTAATTAATTGTGTATAACAAATTGACAGAAATCACGTAGAGATGTAAGCACCCGTAGTCTATCATTAGGGTGTATGAAAAGTGGTACATTGGGCAGAGCAACAGGTGGTCAATGTGACATTTCTGCTTTTTCCCTTCCAAACAGCTTCTTTGATTGAAATCTAATATTTAATTTGAATTTGTAGTATCTTTGTCAGCTGAAAACTGCAGCTAGAATTTGGGGCTTATCAAATACATTGAGGTCAAAGCTTAAACAAGTTACACTAGCTTCAGTACTCCTTGTTTTTTAATTATTGGTGTATCTTTCTAAAAAATTCACAAACATTCTTAGTATTTTGGAACTTTGTTTTTCTAAGAGTGCATAGAATAAAATGTGTTATGCCACTTGTTTCTGTGATGCACAGTCAATAACTGAGAAAAATAAACTTGGTTTTTTTTTAATTGTTTGTGAATAATCCACTTTTGATATCTCAAATTGCAAAGCCTCCAATCAAGGAAAAGCTGCATTCAATAGTATTCAATGTCAAATAAACAACTTGCTGCATCTGAAAATACTAATATTTATGATCAGCTCAAATACACTAGGACATAGATATCAATCTGCTGATACTGTGAAAACAAGAATAATACAGAAGTGCTAGAATAATGCTATCCTTTACCACCCTGCACTAAGTAAATCCTGCTGTTGTGTACTTTGAAATTAGTCCTGTATTGCATTCCGAAATCTCAATTATCTTAGTCTTTCTGGAACTCGTGATAAAAGATCCAGACCAAGCAGATGGTTATTTCATTGTTCAAAATGAATTAAATTTAAAAGCTAAAGAATCAGAAAATGGCCAGAGGGACTTCCAGAAAGAATATCTGCCTTGAAAAGGTGAAGTTTATTCATGTGATCTCAGTATTATAATCTGTTTCACAAATCTTTTTCCTTCTTTGTGGAAGATCTGTATAAACCAGATAGCAAAAATGGTTAAACCCCAAACTTGTGACAGTATTGGTGTTCTTTAAGTTTCTGTCTGTAGTCAATTCTGCGTATTATCCAATATAAAAATACCGAGATGTAATTTAAGCTTTTGTTCTTAAAAGTAGGTAAATCTAATGCTTAGTGCTTGATTCATCACGTTGAGTGTTCCATGAACTTCCTTGAAAATGGGTTTTGCTACCTGCTGGTGACTAACACTAATTTTAAATGCTGACCCTTAATTCTTCCTGTAAGCTGTGATGTTACCCATGCACAACAATTTTAGTCTATGGCCTTGGTCTTTGGCCCTGGTTTTTTTTTTATTGCAGTGTGGGACATGGAGGAGGCTGGCACAAACCATTTTTTTTTTGTTCCAGAGAAAGATGTTTACAAGTTTATATGTATTTTAGAAATTTACTGTAACACTTTTTAACTTGTGAGAGGAGTTTCCATAGTAAACTTGAAATCTGTTCTAATGAGGTGAATAGAGACTTTTGAATAATAGAGAGCTACCTAAGCTACCAGAAGCTGTTAATGGTGATGCTGCTCGCTTACACCACAGGAGGGAGTCAAACATCAGTCTTTTACATATTTTCAGTTAAAGGCATTGTTTTTTCTTAGCACAGTGCATTTCAGTTTATAAATATGCTGACTTTGACTTGTCTTATGGATTGTCACTGCAAATAGGTTAATGTACAAAATCTATACACAGTGGTAATGTATTGTAACTGTTTACAGTTGAACTCTTGCGTACCAATTGATGAGTTTTATCAAGCTATTTAAAAACAGAAATAAAAGTATTTTTAAAAATCTTTTGTCTGTGGTCAACAACAGAGCTAGTTTTGCTGCTTCTCATTCCATTTTTTCACTTTATAAATTCTAGATTCTACTTAAAGAGATCTTGTTTCTGACAATATGATGTCAGTGAGTGGCTTTTCCAGAGATACAATTTGGGAGATGTGTGTTTACTGAATACCAAACAAATTTAAAACCTGGGTGAGAATAAAAGGGCTAAATGCCTTTTGCTTGGCCTTGGAAATGCATCATCTGAGCTCTAGGCTAGCTTTATCATGTTAGCCACCTATGTTCATTCATAGGCATTCTTCTTGCATGTTTTTTAGTTACGCACCTTAACAATCCAGACACATTCAATATAATTCTAAGGTATTTCCTAACTAACTAGCTCTGATCTTGTAACCAAGTTTCATTTTAGAAGGGGAAAGCAAGCCATGCTAAATACATACAACTGCAGCTCTCTTAGGTAAGTGAGGGTAACATCCTGGGTGTTTCTCTTCAGGGTTAAAACCACCTTAGTATTAACAGATAGGCCAGACCTTGGTTTTGCTGAATAAAATATTCAAATTAAAGAAGTGGAATATACATGTATCCTCTGCTTAATGATGAGCATTAAAAAAATATACTAAAAACTAAAACCCCTCACTTTTCAGATTTTTTCTGAAAATTGCTGTCACGTGACTTTTGGATTTTAGACTCAAAAGACATAATAAACTTACAGTTTGTGTTTGATCTCAGCATCCCTTGATGCTGTGTTATATTTTGAGGAAGTATATTACTGGTGTGTGCTGGATTTATTCTGAAAAGAAGTGGTATTGACAATCCTGAAGAGAAGGCTGATAGACCTTGAGTACAAAATGAACGTCTACTTTTCCTAATGATGAATACTGAGAGCATCTTTCCCTCAAAACAAGCATTTGAAAAGAAAAAAAAAAAAAGGAGGGGGGGGAGGGCAGGAGGAGAAAAGAATGTAATCCAGTAAGGTCTGTGAAGTTTCAGCATGTGGTTAGACATTCACAGTTAAGAAAGTGCTATCAATGCTCTCTCTGCTGTAGATCCTGTAGATTCTCACTTTAGATTCCTCATTGCTTCTGGAATTTGCAGGGTACATACTGAAGTAATGGTTTCTAATCTCTTTGGCTGCCCATGATGTTCCAGCCACCCTACTCTCACAGTGATGTGATCTAGTCTTAATCACTCACGTTGTCATCACTTTCAGATGGTTTATCAGTTGTTTTATGTGTATTTATATAAATTGACATGATGCCTGCAGTACATGGGGAGCTTCAAGGAACTCAGAATAATTCTGTAAAATAAGTCAGGAATAGACAGCCTATGACTATCCAAATTTCTTCTGCTTAGGATTTGAAGCATTTTGAAGTCAGATTCAAGGTGGTGGCCTACGACTCTGTGGTAGTCTGTCTTTGTTTATCTCATACTACTGGATTCTATGACAGCAGCTCATCTGTACAGGAGCTCAAATTTCCTCTATGCAAGTCTGAGATTGCCAGAGGAACCTTTTAGCATCACAAACATCACAACATTCTCCTCTTCAGTGTGTTTCTTAGCTCTTGCCTTTCCTGGCAGATAAAAGGGCAGCTTAAAAGTTAAAAAAAACAAACCAAAAAATCCTCTAGCTAAACACAAATATCAAAGATTCTGCTGAAGATAATCACATTTCACATTTTCTGAGGAGATGATTTTTTAAAAGTAGATACAGTGCTTCACCTTCAGTTAAAAAATAAAATATTAGGTGGGGTTCTTGTTATCAAGGACTGTGGCGTGCTTGTAAAAAGCACGTTGTAAGTCTCTTGACCATTAGGGAGCACTACATCTATTTGTTATCACAAATATTTTCTAGACTTACCAAAATACTTATCTTTAAGCACAAAGTTCAAAGGGAAAAAGAAAAAGCCCACACATTTTGGAATTCAAGTATTATTCATTGTTAGAAGTATTGCCAAGGGCAGAGGACCAACACCAACACAAGACAAATGCTCACCTCATTGAACAAAAAGCCAGCAGCAATGACAAGCAGGATGTTTTTGATGCTCTTTTTTTTTTTTTTGGCTAGTGGCTGAAGCCCTTAATCACTTTAGCTGGAAGTTATTCACAAATAACCCTTCTGAGCTCAGTAATCCTGTCTTGCTTTCCATAATAATAATAATAATAAATGTTTTCTACAGGAGAGATAACTGAATCGCCTTTCAGATCTTAGCCTTGCATTCCAAGTATTGCATGCTGCCTGCAAGCATGTATGACCTGCTCCAGAGTTAGAATACTAGCAATGTTTCCAATTTCTGGTCTTTGCTCCCCTTCTTTGACATAAAAGCATTTAAAACAAAAAATATTTTTATGATATTGTATAGCACCTTTCTAAGGTCTTGCTTGTGCATTTTCAGGTATCTGTCATTTTAGGTCATGTCTATAGATGTTGAATTTTCTATCAGGCTGAAAAAAACAAAAACTGGATTTACTTATCAAGACAGAATGAAAATCCAAACCTTTTTCAAAGTTGGACAGCCTTCATTTATTTTCCGGTCCCTCTAGCTGCTTTCTGAGTGAGAACATCTGTACAGACTGGAGTCCTTCACTCTGATCTACAGTTTTTGTTCCCAACAGTCTGTTGGTCAAAATAAAAGCTGTCTGGTCTGTGTTGTCACTGTCAAAACATCATTTTCAGAGATCTTCCTCACATTTTCTCACTGGTTCATAATCATTGGTTCACAGTTTGTAACTGTATCTTCTGATTTCCTTTTGTTTAGCTGAACTACTTTCTTGCCAATGCCAGCAACCTAGAAGGCTGTCGAGATTTTCATCACTGGATGTTTTGTTACAGACAGTTCATCAATCTTTGCTACTTTACATTTAATTCTAGTATATTTTCATAAAGTATCCATTAGGCATTGTTGCTGTTCCTGAACAGATTATTTAGCTGTTTCTCTTTCCTAACATAGGAAGTGCTTTTTCTGAAGGCTGTTCTTGAAACAGCACTGTCCAAAGGTTTGATTCCATTTCGTATATTGCTATTTTTACTATAGTTACTATAAAAGAATGCTTTTATAATAAAAATACCTCTGGTAAATTTTGTTACTCACATGTTAAATCCAGCAGTCGATCTGCCTCGGAACTGCACTTCTGCTTCCTAGCAGATATTCTAGCTGTGATAGACAGTGACATACCCAAGATGACTTTTCTCAACCCAACATAAAGAAGAGAGACCAACCAAGAAAAAAAGTGCTTTGAACATATTCTGGTTTAATTTTGATAGATCATTTTGCCAGAAACATGAGAAGATGTGAATTATGGCTTGAGAGAAGAGGCAACATAAATGGGATCCGATTTTCCTTTATAAATAGGAACTCTGTCAAATATCTCTGATCCCACGAGGTGGTGGCATTAAATAAGGCCTGGAAATGGATTCACAGGAAATAAAAAATCACAGGTATTTTACATATGTTTCACGGAAAAGGAAAATAACACTTTTACTATTTTTCGCCAGAGTTGTTGTCCTTCCAGTCCTATGTAAACTTGGTAACGCAGAACTAGACAGTGTACTAGTCCATTGAAAAGGTGGAGAAAGCAATCGAGGTTTTTGTGGGGTTTTGGGGTTTCCTTTTTTAATTTCAGAAAGTGTAATCAATAATAAAAAAAAATCTGATAGTAGGATTTATCTGTGTAAGTAACTTGAAGTGGTTTCAGTAGGACAAATCGCAGCTTCAATCCAGTAATCCAATCACACAAGATCAGTGCTGATGTCTAGCCTTGCTGACATAATCAAAGCTCTGTGAGCACGAGGATATCCGCATATGAACCAAACTACAAGGTCTGGACTTCCGTGTTTATGGGAATATCCTTAAATTTAGGCCAAGTTAAAAGTCCAGGCCTACTGACAGTAGAGTCAATGTGAATCTTTGCAGCAATTCAGACAGAGACAATACCATGTTCCTGAAGTGCTTTGACATTCATTGCATAATTTCCAAATATTGTACTCATCAAAAAACAATTTTAAAATCTTAAGTGTATTATTTTGCAACAGTCAGCATTTACTAACTGAGAACTATAAAAATAAACCACACAATGTCCAAAGTTACAGCATACTGGATGGTCTTCTAAACCACAGAAAACTCCCAGGAATTCAACTTGTAAAAGGGTATAAATTTGTTACTTTATGTGAATGATTAAGTTGGTAACAGCTTTTGCTGAGGATTTTTACATAGCTTTAGTCAGTATTGCTTTTTATTCTTAGATATTTCCAAATGAACTGCACAAAGTCATTGTTAACAAGGTGGTTATAACTTTTTCTGCAAAGCAAGTGTAACTCTTTTGTCCTGGAGATTTAAGTTTCTTTTTTTTTTCTGTTTCTGGAGTACACACTGTTCACCTGTGGTATGCTGGCTTTTGTATTACTGTGTTTAAATTCGCATGCTTGACATTGGTGCTGCAGTTAAAGAAATAGAAGTTTAGTAATTTTATCTACTACTACTGATCAAGAAAAAAATATTGGACTATCTATTTGAAATGGTGGCTTAATGAAGTCACACCAGATTACACTGATTAAAGTACTTCCAAGAAATTAGGCTCTTAGAAGAAAAGGGCATAAAGAAGTATTTTCAGAACTCATTTTCTTTTCATAGCTTAAATCATAACAAATTCTGCTTTCAAATTAATCTGACAAACATTGTTATGTTGTAATAATTTCTCGTTATTGTACAGAAGAATCCATAGTCAATTTCTCCCCGTTTTTCTAAAGGGTGTTGTGACTGACATACACATTGCCGGGGAACTAATAGGGTGTCTCCTTGCAATTTCCATTTATAACAGAAGACACCCCAAGTAGCAGTAAATTCAGTAATTTTACATTAATCTTTTGGTAAATTTGCTGTTATTACCAGTGGCTTTATTAAAGAAGTACTACAGGAGTGTTAAACAATTGCGGGTTGTTATCACAAAGGGAGGAGAAATTATTTTAATCAGGCAGACTCCAAACTCAGAGGTAGAGTCTGCATCTAAATTTTTTGCTAATGGGCTTTGTAAGGAAATAAAAGAAGATTTCTCATTCTTTAACCAGTTATTGAATGTGATAGGACAGTTTCGGCTCTGTGCAAAGCTGACTGAAACCAATGCAGTATATCCGCACCAGCTTTGTAGCAGCCTTCATTCAGAGAGTCTTTAGCTAAGAATACTCCCTGCATACATCTAATCCTGTGATCTAGAGATAAAAGACCATTTCATTAACGTAAAATATGAAATTGTAGTTTTCTGATTGCCTGTATATAACGACATATAAATATTTATATATATATATATACACACATGCATGAATATCTTTGCTTGCTTAGAATAACTTTCTGCTTAAGTGCTTTCCATAGATGATAAAAAGTCTGGTAGCAAAGAATGGAAACACATCCCCAAGTGCTACATTAAGCATGGTAAAAGCATACCTTTCTTTTCTATTATTCTAGAATTAATAGAATCAATCAAAATCCCAGTGTGATAAATATACCGCTTTACTTGTTCCCATTGCCTAAGATGAGCATTCTAGAATAACATCTTAATTGATTACCAGTTAGAATTTCTAAGATGACTGCTTTATCTGCATTTATCTGTCATTACTTGCAGTTTTATAATTTAATAAAGACAATATTCTCTCCTTTCTAGTAATTTCAAAACAGGCTCTCATTATTTTAGCTGAAGAACATGAAGAATTTCTCTCTTAACTCACACCTGTGTATCTCAGCTTTACTAAAACAGAATACCACGTTTATAGAAAGGGGAGCTTTGTACAAATTATGCAGAAAGTCCAGATCGTTTCAGGAAAAAGCAGCAGCTAGAAAAAGAACTGTCAGGATCCTGTTCTTCATGAAGAGCAAATCTAGAAATTCTGTAGAAGCAGACAGGACACAAAAAAATTGAAATATAAGAAATGCCTAAAAATACTTCATGAAGGCGTTCCTGCCCATGGCAGGGGGGTTGGAACTAGATAACCTTAAGGTCTTTTCCAACCCTAACTGTTCTATGATTCTATAATGATTTCATCCGTGGAGGAGACAATCATTCTTGTCAACAAGTTGGAAAAGGTTTTCACTGTGAGAGGAGACATTATTTAAGAATATAGATAGTACTCAGATAACAGTCTACTTATCTTGCAAATGTGATGAAGATATTGAAAAAATTATCTGGTTGTTTAATTGCAGTTACCAGCCATCTTGTTTTTCAGGTTTGGAGTTTTCCATACACACTGAGTTCTGGAAAAGTCTTACAGATGGGAATAAAGAGCAAGGGCATGGTTTTGTTAATCGTGAGAATTTGGCTGTGCTCATTATCCATCTTCTTCTAGCAGGAATACCAGAATGCAGGTCTTACCAGGCCAGAGAGGAGGAATAATCCTTCCAGGTAAGAATTCATTCATTCTCAGCTGGTACAATAACTGAACTAAATATCCCACATTCTCATGCTTTTGCAATGTTCTCAGTCAACAGCAGGTTTCAAAAACTTTTACGTGAAAAGTCTTTCAGATGTAAATGTACTGTATTTCCTAAGGCCTTCAATTTTTCCCCACAAACAAAGGAAATGGATAATTCTATTTAAACACTGAGCAATCCACACTTACTTGAGTAGCTTTGTGGATTAAAATTGTGCAGTATGTGAATAATTTTTATATAAAACATGCTTTAATAGTTTTGATTTCAAAATTATCTCCACCATCTTTGCTTAATTATGGGTATTTGGAACTTTTCTACAGCCTGTTGAATGGCACAACTGATTCAGACATCCTTAGAGGACTGCATGCATCTGTACAACTGAGATTTCTGCTATTTGAAAATATAATGAAGCTTTTAAAGATACACATAAAAGAAAGGAAACAAAAAATGTTTAAGTAAATTACTTTCTAGGACATTAGTTTTTCAAATGCGTCCATTGTATTTTGTACGCTAAGTCAATTTTTTTTTTTTTTACATTACATTGCTTGCTTTATCCCAAGCATGGCAATTTGCCAACCTTAGCTTTCAGTGATAAATTCTGCTATACAAAGCAAAAGTTTTTATATCTGAGGCCACTTCCTTCTGCTATTCTATCATCTTCCTGGTTTTGTCTGTTTTAAATAAATACCTTTGTATTTTCACATCTTTTATATGCATGTATACACAGATCCTTTCCTCAGTATTAAAACTGATAGTTGCAAGTTGGCAAAGATAAAAAGTCACACTGCTTACTTCAATTTCATTGAAATAATATACTATATGGACGCTTTTATATTACAGTATTAAAAGATCATAACATATTGATATAAAAGCATTTTGTGAATTTGGGAGTGGGGTGAGGAGGCAGGGGTTGATGTTTCATAAGAACAACAAAATGGAAATAATCTCTGTGTACAGCTATATTCGAGTACTAAAGATCGACACATGGAGGCTGAGTTCTCACAGTGAAAAAATGTTATTTTAAAGCATCTTAAATTTAAGTATACTGAAATTTAAAATCTAAAAAGAAATCACGGTGGAATCCAAACACCTCTATTTGTCTCAGGAGGTTGACTATTTCTGCCCAAGAAGAAAAAACCTAGAAAACTCAGCAGGGAGAAGCTAGAGAGATCCCTGTATATGCAGCAGAACCCAAAGAAAATTAAGGAGCACTGAATTAGGAGTGGTCAGGGAGGAGAATGAGATCAGAGGAAAAAACTTTAAGTTGATTCAGCAAACTGGAGAAAAGCTTTTGGAACTTACAAGAAAAAGAAGCTGTCCCTGATGTCAGTGCCCATTTTAGCAGTCTCTCATGAATTCCTCTTTCCCACAAAAAACTGTTACTAAGGATGTAAGCTGCAAATCATCATGTACTAATCTTTTTATTAAGACATTTTTGTCATTGTTCTGTAGACCTATTGTTCTTTTACAACTATATTAATGGTCTAAAAATAGCAAGGGCAGTTCTATCATACTTAAATTACAATTTTGTTTCTTAAGAATGATTATTTTATACTTGCTGATTAAGATCATAGAAATCCTTTTCTGACCACAGAGGCATAAGGTACCAAGTTCATCCTTCATGTAACTGCACTGAGGTAAATGGAGTTACATAAGGAATTAATTTACTGGTCTCCTCCATTTCCTTGGAAAATTTCTTTGTTTTAGTGCTTGCCAAGTTTTAACTTTGCCTCTCTTGCTTAACATATTCCCGTGCTTAGAGACAGTTTTTCCTTCTTTAAGACTATAAGGGGAAACACAGCAGGAGAAAGACAATTAAGGTGAAGATCTGCTTTTTAAATTGAAAGTACATTTCAAGTATCTCAAGAAAATACCAAGAGCTTTTTGTTTTGGTAGAGCAATGTAGGGGATTATACTTACATCCATGAGGATATGAAAGGAGTAAAATAGTATGCGTAGCCATAAAAGGGGAAGGATTTAAGTGACGTTTTTCTGCCTCATGTTTCTTTCTAACTGCAGCAGTTGAAATAAATAGGATCCTTTCTTGGTTAGAGACAATGAGAATTTAAAATGTGACACATCGTCTTTTAACAAAGAATCGCCTCCCCTTTTCATCTGAACTCAACAGGAGCTATGTATTCAAAAGTAACCTATAAGAGAAGCTGAAGGCATACTCTCACCAGTATACAACTGCTATATTTCATGGTAGAATAAATTTAGGTCTTGGATGGTAACATGGCACAAAATTCTTTGTAGAAACTCAACCCACCATTATAGAGTTACTTAAAACCCAAAACCCTCACAAAACAAGGAGTGGATATAGGTTTACTCCTGATGATTTCACATTAGAGTTGGTAAGATTTGTCTTCATGTTGCAGGTATAAAGCTAGGATAAAGCTTTGTCTAAACACTGTAACTCACAGCTGGCTAATCTTGACAGGAATTTGATCTTGATCAATTTATTACCATTAGGTGTTCTAGCATTGCAAATGAGACATTAACAAGCGTGTAAGTTTGACTATAGGCATAGTTTGAGAAGGGCTGAGCATCACGGGTCAAAAATTAAAATTGATAGTGTCAGTGGTTCAGAATAAGGTTAGAATTATGCAGGGATATTGTCCCCACTGGCAAGATAACTATCCAGCAGCCTGCCCTCCTTCTTTCCACACCATCTGTGTGTCCCAGTCTACCAATGCTGTAACCATGCCAATGCAACTGTTTGTGGTATCAGAGCTTGAACTTAATCAGTGGAATAATTCTGGTTAAAAATCACTGGTTTAGGCAGAACTTTTAAAATCTGGACTGAGCAATCTGATTTACAGCATGGCTTCACAAATGGTTGCATGAACAGATGAGAGGGCATTGAAAGTCACAATCGTTAGTCGCCTGTTCCTGCTCCTGTCTAAATTTATGGTTCCATATTTATTAAACCCAGATTTGTGCACTGCTGAGTAGCCAGCAGCAAGATCTGAGCCAGCTCATGTGGAGATACGCAATTGCATTTCAGATGCTCACTGGTGAACCAACAAGAGCACCTGGTCTAACCCTTCTAATACTGTATGTCACAAGCAAGTCCACCTTGTCACTTGGCTGCCACATGTACCATGGGATGCCAGCCCTCTTACGCTGTGGAATTGTTTAAGAGTTCTTCTCTGGGCAGGGAGGAGGAGGGAACTGTAGAGGCCTCTCCTGTTATTAGCACTACTACAATAAATCCTTCAACTGCTGCTATATGCATGCAGCTAGAGCAGGACTTGTGTATGGTTTGCAGCCCTGCTACAGTTCTCAGTATAGGATGAATGAGGAATTTCAAATACTCGGGTCTTGGTGAGCCTGGGAAGTGGTAAGTGGTAATACATTTAACCATGCCAAGCTGGAGTTAGCCAACAGAGGTGAATTCACAGACGCTGGCTACTTCGCAGGGTGGGAACAGAATCTGGCCTTAATCAGTGCACCCTCCCTTGAGAATTACTTTGTATCAAGTTCTATCATTTTCCTGAGATAGAAAAACTCTCTCAAGCTTCATGCAAAATTCCACTCATGATCTTTTTCAGCTTATGTCCTTTGAATCAAAGTCCTCCTTTTCTGTTATTTTAGGCACAGCTTCCACGCTAGAAAGCATCCTGTTTGTGTCTAGTACTATGTATGCATAATTGATACAGGTAAAACAAGTTCTAATGCAAAGTATGTTTCAGATCATAAGCATTACAGAGTTGGTGGACCTCCACAATATTTAATGCATTTGTTTTTCCTCAGTGGGGCATTCTGCTGTTCATTACTCAATTACTCATCAGTGGCCCTATCAGTGTTACACAATGCAAACAAGAACTGACTTCCAAAACCAGTAATATTTGATGTTAGGAATAGATAAAGCTCATTTAGAAGTCTTAAAAAACCCAACAAAAAGTCAGGAATTAGGATCTGAAATAAGCTGCAAATAAAATTCAGGATATGATTTAGAAGTTCATCTGGAGAAAAACTCATGCAAAATTCTTAAAAGAGGGACATCTTTAACTTTGGGGGGTTGACTATTTTAAGGGAATGAGCTTCCTATGCATACAAAAAAGCACCATTCATAAAAGGTGTTTGACTTGCTAAGCTTCAGCTTTGATGTCTCTGACAACAATATAAAATACCTGCATGTAATTTTTTCTTGGATTAAATGGAAAATGCAAATACTTTTGAAACCGTTAAGACAACCAGCAAACAGGATTTTTCCAGCTGAGACAAACAGAGTATGTGTGACAGCATAAACATTTTAATAAACAATACATGGCTAAAACCCGTCTGCCAGACAGAGGAAGTCAAAGAGTTTGCCTTAGGGGCTTAAGAATACCAGGCTTTCAAGTACTGATAAATTAAAAATTAAAAAAGAGAGATGAAAAAAAGATATAATGATGGACTAAGACCTTCCTGCCTGGAAACTATAAGGCACTGCTTCTTAAAAAATAAACAGAAGTATTCTTTAATACAATGGCCTAGTATCGATGACACTGATTCTGACTATCAAGAAGATACTGTCTTAGGAAATGTAATGCTTGCACCATTTTTCTACAAACGTGAGCATCTAAGTGAGCAAGTAGTAAAATCGTAATAATAAAACCACAAAATTCTAGCTTACAAAACATTGCACTGCATCTGTATTAAGATGTATATATATTCCTTGAGATATACATCTATTCTTTAAGATAGATCTATATTCTTTAAGAATGTATTCTTAAGACTGTAGAGACATTCATGTCTTTGAGATTAACTGTTCTCCTTAAGCATAACTTCTTGCCAAATCTAACAGAAGTGACGATAAGCCAGACTTCCAAATTAGTGATGTGTTGACTGAATGCATGAAATAGGAATACGTGCATGCAGGATGACTACCTCCTCAAATAAGATTTCAAAGATTCTTTCTTCCTTCTGACAGTAAAGTGCATTATTCCACCTCCCTGTATCGGATACTGACATCTGGTCTGATGGCACAATGGCAGTTAGTTTACTTCCTTCTGGATTAATAAAAAATTCAGAATTGTATTTCTGGTCTTTGAATACAATGTTAGTATCTACTTTCCAATCGCTAGTCATGTAATGAACATCATCACAGCTCATCCTTTTGATTTATGAAATCTATCATCATACAATGGAATTTTACATCACTGAAACATTTACATTTCTGAAAGAGGAAACTTAACAAAGTAAGACTAGGCTTTTTTATTTCTACACGTAAACTAAAGATGAACAATGAAGATGATCCCCTCCCCCCCCCCGAATTTCCATTAAGAAATAAAGAGCAATCCAGAAAAAAGGGAGTCCACTCTTGCTGAGGAAAGGATGTGGTAACCTTTCCTACTCTTGAATTCTTTGATTATTAAAATAAAAGAAGAAAAAGGAAGGGTAAAGGGTAATTTTCATTTTCAGCCAGTATTATTTGGAATCTGGTTCAAAAAATCCATAGAAATAGCTTAATACTCAATGAGCCTTTCAGACCACACAAATGTGATAATGTGATGTAAGGGATTCAGTTGTCCTCACTGACTCTCTGTGTAAGGACAAATGTAACAGATACGCTCCTGACCCCTGAAAATGAAAAATGACATGATAAATTACTGCTTAGTGGAAGCTGAACCAAAACAGATACTAAACTATACAAAGAGAGGGAAAGGGAAAATAAAAATAAAATAAAAATAAAATAAAATACAAAGTGTATTACCTGAAAATTCACCAAATAACCACATTTAGCATTAAAGGATCAACCTTGCCAACAGCAGGTTTTGGAGAAAGCCCAATTTTCTCCTAGAAATAATTTAAACAGACCAGCTATTAGACTCTTATTTGCAGAAATGACAGACTATGAAGTTCTTCCAACACAGAAGGTTAGATTTGTGGATACAAAACTGGCAAAGCATACTTGTGGTAAATATAGATCTATGACTACAGAATGGACTGCAAGAAAGAAAAATAAAACAAAACAAGATCAAGCAATCTTTAGGAAACTGCTGATTGAAACCCTTATTCATATATAGAGAAAAATAAAATTCATATGTATTTCAAAACAGAAGAATGATCAAAGTTTCAGAAAACAGAGTAGATGTAAGAGAATTATTCACATGAGTAGGTAACAGTTTATTGGAGAGTATCCTACAGTTTGCTGAGATTGTAAGCTGTCTTGCTGCCTGTCATCTTTGTTGGTAAGGCGCTACCCAGTATTTAATGATAATGCCATTGTTACTTGTGAATTATCAAAAACTATAGAGTAGTTCTGCTATGGTAGAACTACTATAGCTATGATGTAGAAATATGACTGTAATTCTTTAGTTGATGTTGTGCATTTTCAAAAAATCTATTCCTGACCTGGTTAGGTCTATTCCTGACCTAGCCAGACATGAGACCTGTTTTACACACAGGAAAAAGAGACAACAAGGTAAAAGGTTTGATCTTCAAAGTTTCTATTGCACACCTCACTTGAAGATTAAACAGCTTTGAGCAGTAAGCACTTTGTACTCAGAACTAATAGTTTTAATTAGAACACTTGCAGATCAGGCCCATGCAAAAGTAAGTCTCTTCATAATATACACAGTATGTATGAAAATTTCAAGCTTTAAGGAACATCTGCCATCATTTCAGAGACATACAGCCTTGAGAAGACACTGTAATGTCAATACTCTTTTGTACTATGTATCATTAATAAATCCTCCTACTAAAATGGGACTGTAAAGCATAGACTTTCCTTGAGAGGGTATTTAATGACATATATTTCAAAGTTACAGGGTCAGCTACATTTTCAATAATGCAAAATACTGATAATCTAACTGTTTGGTCAAGTTAGTATTGCAGTTATAATAAAGAACATTTTGCTTATCTCATAAGTTTAGAATTGTCTGATTTTACCATGAAGTTCATATAAAATCTTTGCTATTAATTTGGGGAATTTTATAACCACTTATTGCTTCCATGAAGTCAACAGGAATTTTAAACTGAATTAGTGGGAGGTGGACTGTTACCAGCAGCTCACCCTTCTCTTTTACTAAACTTAGTGATCGGGCTACCTTTCATTTTGCACTAGAATTTTCTGTCCAACAAAAGTATATTAAGTTATACTGAAATATAGGAAGGAAGGAAAAAAAAAAGATATTGACAAACAAAAATAACAAAAGAAAGGAATATATTTTATATAAAAGTGGAAAACAACAGATGAAATGAAAGGAAACAATCTGTGATCAATTATGAAATCAGAATTTTTCTCATGAAGCAGACTCCCCTTTAATGTAAAGTTTTCTCAGTGTGCAAAAATATTCAGAATCCACTGTCAGTTCATCTGCATTCAGACTTATTTTAAAAACAACCCATAATTGCACTTTATAGACACACATTTCAAAATAAATCCCTTACCTAGGTAATGCTTCTGTTTTATGTAATCATATTTTTTTATACCCTTACTAAACTTATAACAATATTTAATTTAACAAAGGAAATACAGAGGAGTATTTTAAAAGTTTGTGATATTTATGGTTTCTAGATGAGGTAAAATGCTTTATCACCAGAGCAGCAGCCAGAGCCCAACCTCAGCTCTCAGCAAAATGGGCTGTAATAACCACCTATTAGCAGCAGTGTCAAGAGGTGAGCGCTTCCGACACAGCTTCCTAGATTGTGCTCTGTCCCATGCCAGCCTACAAAAGGAAAGTGGAACACCCGATATTTTCCTGTTGGCTGACCCTTTCCCCTCACAGCTTCCTTTCTCAATAAGATTTTGACACCAAAGGTTTAAAAAAAATAAAGACGGGTACTACCTAGGAAGGAAGGAAGGAAGGAAGGGAGGAAGGAAGGGAGGGAGGGAGGGAGGGAAGGAAGGAAGAGTGGCCTGTGCCAGCACACTTCTGCTTACCTTTACAGAGACTTTGAAGACTGCTGATATCCGGACTCCCATGATATGTCACTGACGATCTTTACTGAGAACTTAAGAAATCTCACAGATCCTGCAGTAAGCAGACAAATCCTTTCTGTTACCAACACAGATAACACAAACCAATACAAACCCCTGTGCTACACATGGGGAAACAGTCTCTACACAAGGCTCTTCATGACCCCTGTTGCAGTGGATGCATCCAGCACCCCTCCAGCACCAGACCGGACCCAAGAACAAGGAGAAAGCAATAATTGTAAGAAAACATGCAAAAAATCATACCCCTCAGGTCAGAGACTCGACCCACCTTGTCCGAATTCACGACGCGGCTTCAAGCCAGCTCGACCCTCGCCTTCCTGTCACCCTCTGCGCTTTGCCCCCTTCAGACCCCTCTAAAAGAGCCAGCAGCTCTGCAGACATTTTCTGGCCACCGCAGACCCCCAAGAAACAACCCCAACCGACACGAAATCCAACTGACTCGACGGCTCCCCTCAGCCCCTCCCGCTATCGCTCTCAGGCTGCTAGCCAGCCGCTGCCCCGCAGGCCAGGCTCCTCCCGCTGCCCTCGCCCCCTGCCCGCCCTGACAGTCCAGAGGGGAGTCGGCTCAGGCGCCAGAGCGCTGCCAGGCCGCACCATGCGAAACCTGCCGGGAGGGAACAACGAAAACGAGAAGCAGGAAGGCGAAAGGGAGGCAACCCCCGTCCCCGGGTCCCGCTCCGCCGACAGGGCACGGCCAGGGAGCTGCCGCCCCCTGAGGGGAGGAGGCAGCGCGGCGATGGCCAGCGACCCTGTAGCGGCGGGGAGGCTGTGCAGGCCGGCCGGGCCTGCCTTTCCCCCCCTCGCTCCTCCGCAGGTCACATGAGAGGGGCGGGCGGCTGGGCCGAGGCGGCGGGTGCCGCTGGGGCTGAGGCAGGACTGGGGCGGAGAGGGAAGGGGCAGAGCCGCGCGGCGGCGAAGGAGAAGCGTCTGCGAGGCGCCGAGTGCTGAGGCGCGGGCCTCTCTCAGCTGCGGCCGTTGCGGAGCGCGCTGCTTGCGGCCTCAACATGGACGAAGAGGGCGGCGGAGGTGGCTGCGGTGAGTGGAGGGGTTGTGCCGGGAGACGCTGCCTCTCACCTGGCCAGTGCGGGCGCGGGGAAGGCGACCGAGGCGCTCCGCTCCTGGGAAGAGGGGTTGCTGCTCGCCTGCCCGAGGCCGTGACACTCGTGGCGATTCCTCCGTGACACTCGCCGCGCCCTTCCCTCTGTGCGGAGCTGCCCGCCGTTGTTGTGTCCCCGTCCTGCCCGGCGCTGAGGGACTGTAACAGCGAGCACCGAGCAGCACCCAAGAGCGGGGGAGCGTCGTGGTGGGGCTGGCCCTGTCGCCGGCGGGCACAATGGGGGCTCTGTGCCCCGCGGCGGGCGCCCCCGCGGCCGGAAAGGGTCAGGCGGAGGTGGGGAGGGGGGAGGCGGGTTTGCTCTGGCTCGGCGGGGTTCGGACACAAAGGGGGTGACCGGGCCGGGCAGGGGTTCCCGGTGGCCCCGCCGCGGTGACAGCCCCGGGGCATCGCCGTGCTCGTGCGGGCAGTTGCTCGTCTGCTGGGAGAGGGGAAGGGGGGGAAAGAAGAGAAAGAAAGTGTGTGTCTTGTAGTGTGCGAGCAGCGAACAGAGTAATTGAGCTCTGCTAGGGCTCTGTTTGTGTGTGTCATCTTAATGGAGGCTCGGTGATAATCACGGGGTGGTTCATCCAGTTTAAACAAGGTGAACTGTTTGCAGAGGCGTTCATGTTGCCAGATACTACTTTTAGAAAATCCGACTCGCGTCTTGGGGGAGTTTCTATCCTTCATTTTAATCTCGGAGACCGGCTTGAGCACCGTCCCAGTTAAGGCGCTGCAGACGTGCAACACCCTTCCCTCCTTTAATTTATAATGTATTTTGTGAGTACGTGTGTAAAGCTGCTGCCCGAAATAACCAGTTCTTGTGTATCATCAGCGATAATGGTGGCTGTGGTGACTGAGGGGTGGCTGATCCTGCCTTGGGGCGGAGGGATTGGCTTGAGTGGACTGCCCTATATTCTCTGTGACTGTGGCGGTGGTACAGAGTGAAGTGATGAGACCGTATCTTAAATGCTAAACAGACTGCGTTTGAATGCACTGGCTGATTTCTAAATAGGTAAAGTAAGGGCTAAACCTTGTATGATTAATAGTTGCGCGGTGCTTGCTAATTCTAAATATAATTACCCAGAACTCGGAAATCAAGTGGGTGTGGTGTTTGTTTTGACAACTTGAAAAAAAAAATGCTATGATGAATCAGAAAAATTATTCTTCAAGCAGTTGTCTGGAAAAGTGGCCATTTCTCAGTAGCATTTCTGCTCATTTTGTCAGTGATAGACTGAACTCTTAAATCTGAAAAGACAAAACAAGACAGTCCTGAAAAGTTATTATTCAAAACAGTTAAATGCTGTAATTGTAAAGAGCAGAAAGCTCATTCAACTCAAAATATGTTATTTTCATAGTATTATGGACTTGCATCTGTAGTTAAGGGAGATGAACACACTTGTTGGCACTAACTCTGTGTAATATAGAACTTAATCACATGCAAGATGTAAACTAGAAGGTGGACTTATTGCTGAATCAATCTTTGATAAGGTGTTAAGCATTTCAAAGTTGGATTTTCATGGGAGGGAGAACACTCAGGACCTCGGGAAGAGACGGTTTATATTTAGCTGAAGGCTGGTTCTATAGGTGAAGCTGGATTTTTACCTAGCATGAGAGTGAAAGTATTACTTATAACCTCATATATCTCATTAATACACATATTGCTTCTGTGGGGTCAAATTACAGTACAGTTCATGTTTCTCCCTACTTGACTTCATTGTAAGACAACTATGGACTAGTAAGACAGGAAATTTTTTTGCAGTCAGTGTATTTGGTGTTTTACGTTGTAGTGTTGTTGAGTATTCATTTTTTTTCTTGAGTAGGGATCCAGTTTTCTTACGGACCGCTGTCAATTTGGAACATCAGCATTAGTTAGGTCATTTCCAGCTAATTACTTGGTATTTTGAATTGAGAGTTTGCTGTTTTGTTTTTTATTGATTTATTTTCTAACAATAGCACGTGGAAAGCATGGATTTGACAGTCAATTTTAAAATCCTTCATTGCTGCTGAGTAGTGAGGCACATGGGCTAGGAGTTTGACTAGGGCAGTACAGTGTTTTGAACCTCTGCAGGACATTTGCAATCCTCAAATCAGATGTGGGAAACTTGGAGATAAGCATATCTCTGTTCACAAGTACTTTAGGAAGTATGCAAAATTATTTGAGGACTGCACAGAAAATCACCCTAATTAGAGACTTGAACTAGACAAACATCTAAATATCTAGGACATTAAACTGTGATTCAGAAGGTAAACTGCTATTCCCAGCTCAGTTTTGCGTGCTGCCCCTGCTCTTCAGTTTAATTTGTGTCCTATGCTTCAGTTCCTGTATTTGTCAAATGGGGTCAGTTGTTCTACCACAGTGATAAAAACTGTGAATGAAAACAGAGCTGTGTAAAGGATTTATTATTTTAGAAGCACTTGATGGAAAAGAAATGTTAATTAAGAGAATTGTTCTTAGTAGCTCTTTCTGTTTTGTATGTAGAGCCCTAAATAGGGGCATGCGTTTATATTATACAATCCACTTATGTACAAGCCTCCCATTGATTTCAGCAGAGGCTCTGTGCATGGATTATTGATGTGATATGATCCGAGTCAGTTGGTGTCTGTCTCAACCTTCTTTTGTGTTCTGATTAAAATCTCTGTGGTTTACTTAAGCCAGGAAATTTTCCTCCCTCTCCTCACTTGGTTTAAACCCACATCTTTTGTGATTTGACTGGGGCTTTTCTTACATGCTTACTGTTACGTGGTGGGGGTACCACTGCACTATGATCCTCAAATTGAATAGTGCTGTTGGCAGCAGGTGCTTTGGCTATGTACTGCTAAACAGTAAGTGATCTTCTGTATAGCATAAAAAAACAGTGCTGGAAGCACAGAATAGTACTTCTCTTTATTTTTCTGCATTTGAGTCTAGTTATGCGGTAGCTTTGTAGCCTCCCAAATTCAACTCTGTGCCATTCCTCTTGGAAAAGACTGTAAGATTGAGTGCTTACCAGCTTTGTATATATGTTTGTTTTAAGCTGTCTCTATGAACAGACATGCCAAAAAGTTAAAATCCTGCTTCTACTTGACAAATAGGCCAGATTACAGCAGTAATTGTGGTATTGAGGTTTCTCTGCTGTGCCCCAAACTCTGTGCTTTATTTCTGAATTTTGAAGCTTTTTTCTGGGAAGAGAGCAGTTCAGTTGCCAAGCTCTGTTAGTAGTTGGCTGTACTTGCCAGGGATGATGCCAGGTAGAGCACTGATTCTGTTATGTAGACAGACGTTCATGAGGAACTAGGCCGAGAGACCAGATCGTCTTGCAGAGTAGTCAGAAGAATAGATTTGCTGCCAAACCAAATTTAGCAAGATGACTTCTGTTCCTTTGCAGGACAAAGCATTTATCCATTTATAGGTAAAGCTGTTAAATGTAACACACACCCCCAGATTTTTCCTAGGAAAGAAAGTTTTGAAATTGATT